ATGCCTTTTTCATATTCTTCCATATATATGTCACCTTGTTATGGTTTTATTACTTTTTAAAAATCTTTTAAGGCTGCTGTACATGTTTAATCTGTGTCACCTGTAAATACAAGAGGAACCCAATGAAAAATAGGCAAAGAAGTATAGAGAGATATTTCTTCAGAGAAGATATACAGATGGCAAAGCAGCACATGAAAATATGTAAAATTGCCCTGGCCAATGTGGCTCAGTAGGTTGGAGCATCATCCCATACACTGAAAGGTTAAGGGTTTGATTCCTACTCAGGGCACATACCCAGGTTTCGGCACCCTTTTAGGGTGCAGCCGATCAATGCTTCTCTCTCACATCCATGTTTCTCTCTCTCCCTCTCCCTTCTTCTTTCTCTCTAAAATTAATAAAAACATCCTCAGGTGAGGATTAAAAGAAAAAAGAAGCTGCCCAACCAGTGCGGCTCAGTAGTTGAGCGTCGACCCATGCACCAAGAGGTCGCTAATTTGATTCCTGGTCAGGGCACGTGCCCAGGTTGTGGGCCAGATCCCCAGTGGGGAGCATGCAGGAGGCGGCCAGTCGATGTTCTCTCTCATTGATGTTTCTCTCTCTCTCCCCCCCTCTTCCTTCCTCTCTCTCCAAAAATCAATAAAAAGTCCTGGCTGGTTTGGCTCAGCAGTTAGAGTGTTGGCCTGTGGACCAAAGAGTCCTGGGTTCGATTCCAGCCAAGGGCATGTACCTTGGTTGTGGTTAGTCCCTGGCCCCAGTTGGGGTCATGCAGGTGGCAACCAAACGATGTGTCTCTTTCACATCAATGTTTCTCCCTCTCTCTCTCTCTTTCCCTCCCACTCTATCTGACGATAAATGTAAACATATCCTCGGGTGAGGATTAAAAAAAAATTAAAACAAATAAAACTCAAATTTTTTTAAAGAAAAGCTAAACATAATTAGTTACTAGGGAAATGCAAATAAAAATGGCAATGAGATACCACTACAAACCTATTAGAATGGCTAAGATTGAAAAGACGGACCATAAAAAATCCAGAGGAATTAAAATTTTCTTACATAACTGGTGGGAATAAAATGGTACAACCACTTGGGAAAAGTTTGGCATTTTCTTTTAAAAAAATAAAAACATATACCTACCAACCGTATGATCCAACCATTCTCTTAGCCAGTTACCCCAGAGAAATGAAAGCATATGCCCATACAAACACTTCTACAAGAATATTCACAGCAACTCTATTTGTTATAGATAAAACGTGGAAGTGTCCACTGACAGGTGAATGGATAAATTATGGTATATCCATACAAGGAATACTCCCCCCAAATTTTAAAAATGATTTTTTGAGACATATAACATAGGTAAACCTCAAAATAATTATGCTAAGGGGGAAAAGCCAGACAAGAAAAAAGGGCATACAGTTTGCTTCTATTTAAATAAAATTCTAGGAAATGCAAACTATAGTGACAAAACAGATCAGTGGTTTCCTGTGGATGAGGGGAGAGCAGTGGGAGATACAAGAGAAAGGGTTTACAAAAAAGAGCATAAGGACATTTGTGGTGATGTGTATGATCATTATCTTGATTTTAGTGATAGTTTCATGGTGTATACCTATGTCAGTTTATCAAATTGATACTTTAAGTATGTGCAATTTATTATAAGTCGATTATATTTCAATAAAGCATAATTCAAAAACATAATTGACTGTGGTCTGACCAGTGAAATAAGGAAAAGGCAACTGCCTTGTTCTGGACAACACATTTCCATCTTTCGGGATAAAACTATGTACAGAGGTTCTCTGGGCAGCCCTAAGCACATTGCTGGCTTTTGCTGAGATATCAGGCAACTGAAATTCTCATGTCTTTATCAATCTGCTGTTAGGCCAGATTCTCGGAGTGCCTCTCTTTACATTTGACCCTAATGTATTTCAGATTGTTTTACACATGACTATTACTTTTATGAGGCTTCAGTATTAATATGCACTAGATCATTAGTTTTTCTGAACACTAGGGATACCCACAGTTGGAGTGGGGACTGGAAGTGGAGGGAAAGTGTTAAAGAAACTGAGTGGGCAAGGCTTCAGCCTCCAACCCAGGCAGCTTCTTAGTTTTACAGACCTAAGGACTCCTGGGGAAAAAAACAAAGTATGAAAATCATCTAAGTTTTATCTGTAAGCCAGGCTCAGAGCCTGATCTGCTCAGTGAATCTTGATTAAATTCAAAATACCTCTCATTTCTTTCTGCACTTCCTCTCCTAATTGGCATATAAACTTATTCTGTCACTTGAGTTTCTTGAGATGAGAACATTAATTTCTGAGGAAGAACTGTTGATTTTACACACACACACACACACGTATGTTTAGATATAATATACTAATGTACTAAAGTGTACCATTTTCATTTTTTGTATATTGAATGATTTTAGGGAGAGGAGGGGGAGAGAAAGGAGGAGCGGAGAGAGAGAGGGGAACATAGATTTGTTGTTCCACTTATTTATGCATTCATTGGTTGATTCTTGGATGTGCCCTGACCAGAGATTGAACTTGCAACTTTGGCATATTGGGACAACATTCTACTGAACTACCTGGCCAGGGCCCCATTTTCTAAAAGGACTGATTTATATTCCCACATTAGCAATGGAAGCCTCTATTAACAAATCCTATGGGTATTAAACACATACACAAAAAGGTTCTAAAGGCTGAGGGGAAAAAATCATGCAAACACATAGAAAATTGTTACTACAAATTCATAATCTCCTCCCTTAACGAGGGCTTTTTTTCTTTTCTTTGGTTAGTTAATTAGTTTCCCTCTTCAGTGATTCCCAACTTACCTACTGTTTCTCTTGCCTAGCTCATTGTCATCACATAGTGTTCCTTCCTGTTTTACTACGGAAGTTGAGAACACTGAGTAATAATGGTCAGTTTCCTGCCTCTTCCCACCTAAAATTTATCTTCATTTTTATCCATTCTAATCTTCTTCCCTCTAGTGTCAAACAGGTTTACCCCCTGTTCAGAATCAAATACAGTTGACCCTTGAACAACATGGGTTTGAACTGTACAAGCCCACTTATATGCCTTTTTTAAAAAATAATTTCTTTATTGATTCTAGAGAGAGGAAAGGAGAGGGAGAGACAGACATCAGTGAAAGAGAACATTGATTGGCTGCCTCCTGCATGTCCCCCACTGGGGATCAGGCCTACAACCTTGGCATTTGCCCTGACCAGGAACTGGTGCATGGGTCAACGCTCAACCACTGAGCCACACTGGCTGGGCTTATACACCTTTTTTATATAGGGGACTTGAGCGTCTGTGGATTTGGGTATCTGCAGTGGCCTGGAACCAATCCCATGTGGATACTGAGGAACAACTAGGTTTGGGAGGAATCAAAAGTTACACATGGATTTTCAACTGCAGGGTGGTAGGGGGTGGAGTGCCCATAACTCCTGTGTTTTATTCAAGGGTCAGCTGTACTCTATTTTTGACCTACAGTCACATCTTATGAAGAAACTGGCTCCATCCACTGGTCTGTCTGTTCTGTATCTCATCTCTCTCATGACTCCCCCTAGACTATTCGCAAATAGTTCTTTCCCATTCTAAAAAAATATCCTCCTTTGACCCTGAGTTCCTCTAAGCCTGCAATTTTCAACTGCTGTACTGTAAGACGCATGCCTGGTGTGCCAAAAGAATTTTTAAAATATGCAGTACCTGACTATTTAGTCAGGGGCACTGATCTCTTTTCCCTTAGATTGTCTAACAAAAAATGACATCTGCCAACACAATAATAATTGTCCAGTGTGAATGAATCAAAATTATACCTTTTTTTCTGTCAGACCAGCAAAAAATAGTTTTGATGTGTTGCAGAATTTTAGTAATTAGTTTATGTGTGCCATGAGATGAAAAAGGTTGAAAATCACTGCTCTAAGCTAAGACTTTATCTTCTAGTTTCCTAACATGGCCATGCTCTCCATTTTTTCACTTCCCAACCTACTTAAATCTAAATTATGTCAACACCACTTCACTTAAATTCTGAGTTAAAAGTGACAAAATATTTGACAAATTTCTAATCTTCAGTATATTTGAATTTTCTATGACCTTTGACACTTGGTATTTGGAATGGGCGGTCAAATATATTTTGGATGAACAATGTGGGAATCGATGGAGGGATGGGAAGAAGTTGCTCTTAAACTCAAGTACCCAGTGAATTATAGCTATAGTAGCCAGAGTAATGTACCCTCCCTCCCCTGCCACCACCAAAGATGTTCACATAGCAGTCCCTAATCTGTGAATTTGTTATTTACATAGCAAGAGGAATTGAGGTTGTGGATGAAATTAAGATTGCTGATCAATTTGCCATCAAGTGGTGAGATTATCCTGGAATATCTGTGTAGGCCCAGTATACTATAAAGGTCTTTATAAATGAAAGGAGGAGGCAGAGTATGTCAGAGTGATGCGATGAAGAAGACTCAACTAGCCATTACTCTGAAGGTTGAAAGAGGTCAAGCCAAGGAATGCTAGTGGCCTCTAGAAGCTAGAAAGAGCAAGAAAACAGATTCTGTCCTACAACTTTCAGGAAAGAACCAACCTTTATTATACCTTTAGACCAGTGAGACCCATTCGGGTTTTTGGGCTCCAAATCTATAACTGGGGTTTTTAATTCACTACGTTTTGTACTAATTTGTTACATCAAAGAAACTATTATAATAACCATTTCTAATTTTCCTTTAAAATATAGTTGACTCTTGTGACTTTTTCTGTTGAGTCTAATTTGTTTAGTGGGGGCTTTGGGGTGGTGATAGAAAGGAAACCAGGATCAAATGAGAGTTCTTTAACTCTTTCCCTTTAGCTACTCTGTTGCTGACCTTCATACTCTCAGCTGTTTGCTTATAATTATATTAAAAAAACCTTAAGTCCTAGTACCAGAAATAAAAACCTGTATGAAAGCTTAGGGTACATACTTGCTTTAGGAACAAAAGAATAAGGGAAAATGAATCCTGTGAGATTGTACTTTACCATGGCGAGCAGAAGAGAAAACTTGTTGGTTCCTATTAGGAAGCAATTGATAACAGCAGTGGAGGGGAATGTGGGTGAACCAATCTGCCACTGAAAAAGAGAGGAGGGTCTCAGAGCCAACCTAAACCACACAGTAACACCCAAGTATAAATGTACAGATTCTCTGGCCACCAATCTCCAACTTTCTAAGGCTTTCATCCAACAATTCAATATGATTTTAACCTATATCCAATTATTCCTGCTTTGTTTGAATACTTGCCCTAAAGTATAGGAAGTAACTATTGCTTGAAGCTAGGAGAATTTCTTGCTAATAGAAAGGTAGGATTCCTCATTCTGATGGGCAGAGGGCATGGATCGATACTGCTTTATCAATTGAAACACTGTAGAACATTTTCTCATAGGACATAACACATACAGAGAGGTTGGATTTAGAGAATAGCCCTTTGTGGGTTGACCTGAAGACATAACTACTTTTCTGTTAGAAATTATGTTCTGATTTCTAGAACAGGAATGACCATTACAATGTATCTAAACCCTTTCTTTCTCCCTTCACTTTCATTTTAATCCCATTTATTTATTTGTCCTACCTGCCTAGCATTTCTTGGCTCTACTTAGGAGTCACAAGATCAGACAACAAATCTGACTTTAGGTATGTGATAAAAGGATGTTTATAACCTTTACATCAGTGTTTGTCAAACAAGAATCTTTGAATTCTCTACCAGATTTTTTTCCTTGTTGTGATTTCATTAATCTATAATAATTAACATAAGCATAGTCCAGGTCACCTTGATTCCCACTTAAAACTAAGTACTGCCATCTGATTCCAGAGCTTGTGTTGTGTTTAGATATAGGATCTTGTTGGCACATGTAATAGTACTTTGTCTTAGGCAAATGAGAACAGAAATAGATAATAAATGCTTTTTTCCTGGCAATGTGAAAGCCAAATGACACCCATGAAAGAATGAACAAAGGTCTCCTAAAGGTTCTAGTAGAGAAAACCAGTCATTATATATGGAACACAGAGTAGTATAGACATGCCAAATTTTAAAAACCTAAATTGTGGTAATTTTTTGTTTCAAGAGGCGATTTAATTTGTAAAAAATAAAATAAAAATCAAGTAGCAGATATTATTAGTTTACATTTTTCCACACTTAATATACACTTCTGTTTCTATTTAAATTTACCTCTTGTAGTATGAGTCCTTAGAGGCATTAATTACTGCAACTATTTCCGGTCTTTCTCACAATCACATCTCATCTAGATACTTTAATAGCATTCCTAGTGGTCTCTTTGCCTCTAGTCTCCACACCAATACACCCTTCCATTACATCTTCCACAATGCTATCATAGTTACCTTTTCATGATTAAAAGCTGATCGAGATTTTTTTATGCTAAAAATTCAATTTCCCCATGCCATACCCTTTAGAATAAAATCTGAGTTCATTAATATGCCATGTTGAGGACCTCAACATATCTAGTTTTATCTTTCAACTGTTTTGTCTCATTTATTATTTAAATATGTTTTTATTGATTTTAGAGGGAAAGGGAGAGGGAGAGAAAGAAACATACATGAGAGAAACATTGACTGGCTGCCTCTTGCACATCCCCCCCCACCTCCCACTGGGGATCAAATCTCTGATCTCTTGGTGCATGGGACAACACTCAACCGAGCCACACCAACCAGGGCTGTTTTCTCTCATTTAATTTCTTCTTTCTCTTCCCACCACTAGCACCCTCTACCCGCTTCACAAATGCACATGCACACGCACACACACATGTGCACACTCTACTGCAGCAAAGTCTTTTGGAGAATTACCAGGTCAAGTTCTCTGAGATTTCACTTTGTTCCCTCTGCCTAGGAGCCTTCCTCCCTTTTCTTTTTTCCTCCTTCACCTCCTTTTTCTTCATTTGTTTAACAATAACTCTCTTCCACAGAGAAACTTTCTCTTACCACCCTCAGCTTACTTTGTGCATGCATTTATGTCATCAAACACACTGTGGTAGTTGTTTGATCCTTAATGATCTCCCCAATTAAAATACTTTTTGTTTTGCTTTGTTTTTGTGTAAGAGTTTACTTGAGCCAAACTGACAACATTGCTAGGAGGCAAGATCTCAAATGCTCTGTAAAAGACGTTCTTAAAGGTGACATCTATATCTTCAGTATCTAGTTCAGTGTCTGGCACATAATAGGCATTCCAAAAAATTTCTCAAATGAACATTTAGGAGAATGGGAGCAATTCTATTAATAGATCTCTATTACATTAACATTCTTCAACCTAAACCTAAAAGACCTCCTTTAGCCTAGTCAGACCTAAATATTGCTATGACAGTCTCTTGGTCTTGCCTCACCCGGCATCAAAAGCAGTTCTGTATTATAAATGGATGTTTTTTAAAACTGTGTTTGTAAGTAGGGAGGCTTTCTGGAAGGCAGAATGCACTATTATAGTGAACAATGTTATGGTGACTAGATTTCAAGCTGGCAAGTACAAAAAAGGCAATTAAGTTACATGAAACATAACCACAATAGTGGTAGCCTGAATTGTTTTCTAGGGTAGGAAACCTTGTAGTACTTGAGCAAAGAGAAGGAACAAGAAAAAAAAAAAGTTTCTTCTCATTCCCAGTTTCCCCAAGAACAGTTTAAGTTTCACTTGGACATTTTTCTTTGCACTTTCTGCATGCTTCTCCATCGAGTCTCCAATGTCCTTACCTTGCCTTTGTCCTTAATTATACCCCTACCCAAGCCAGGGGTAAGCATTTAGCCCTACCACGAAAATGCTCCAAAGTAATCTTCCTCTTCTCTCCATTAATGAGAATAGAAGGAAAGCTAAATTCACACAAATCTGTGAATATCTAATTATATTTTAACTCCCATTTTTGTTGTTGTTGTTTTGTTGGGGGTGGGGGAGAGTTGAATTAAAGTATTGTAGCACCTATGGCTCATTTTTTTAAAAATGGGTCTTTTGGTAAGATGGAGAATCTGTATCATACTGTTCTCTTACCAGGTATAAATGGTAAAGCCCAATCTCATTATTATGTAATCATTAACTTTGAGATTTACTGTGCTTTCATGATGGGATATCTCTGAAATTGTCACACTTCTTTAATGAGCCAAATTCATTAAATTTTTTTTTTTAGATGTAGTGGAATGTTTCTTAGTAAGTTTCATTCTTTTAGTGCCATGTGTTATGTGCAATGAAAAATAATCAACAGGTACTTGATAGTATGTATTAAAAACAAAAGCCTCATGTCAGTGGTTTCATTAAATCACTTAGATACTATATAGATCTGATTCTTTAGAACCATTATGTACAACATTCCCACAATAACTCCTAACACACAATTCTTTAATAGAATCTTTAATTTATCATCACTACCTTACTAAAGAAATCTTGTATATATTTAAACAATCAAATACAGAATTGGTAAAATGATCATTTCTGGTCTAAATCATACCCAATCTCTGTTTATTTTAGATTTTTTGTATTTTAACAAAGTGAAAGATTGTAATTATCGGTGGCAGGTAATTTTAATTTTAATTTTTTATTTTTAGTTAAGTACTGATAAAGTTAATTCATATATTGGGACCCACAAAAAGGTGGCTGCCCAGTGGTCTGTCACATCACAAATCTAACCCTAAGGCAGCCTGCACTAAACACCTGTCAAGGAAACCTAACCTACACCAATCAGAAACAATTCTCCAACTCAGCTATATAGACAGCTGACTTTTCCTCAGGAAACACTGCTAGCCTTACAAGGAAATTCCCTGCCTGCTAGCCAATCATGCCTTGTTTCCCAGTTGCTGCTTCTAATGCTCTATAAAACTCACTCCTGCCCCAAATCGCTCTCCTGCCCCAAATCTCTCTGGAGCAGTGTTCCACTGATTGTGAGGCACTGTACTCCATAATCCATGGATTGTTTTCCCTTGAAAAAAGGACATCAAATTTAGTTTTGCAATTTGACAGTATCTCACCCTGAAAATCCTTATCTAGATGACTTACCCCTACATGACTTTCAACCTACATTTCATTTGAAATTTAAAAAAAAAAAAATCTGTAGAGTAGGCCAAGATCGGTGTATTCCATTTCTGGCTATAATTATGAATTTTAATTTTCAATGAAATACAGTACCACTTAAAATTAATTTTTTTAAATCTTCACCTTAGGATATTTTTCCATTGATTTTATCTATTTATTTATTTTTTTATCCTCACCTGAGGACATTTTCCATTTTCTGTTCAGGTAGAGTGGGAGGGAGAGAGAGAAACATCGACGTGAAAGGGACACATCGAGTGGCTGCCATCGTACAACCAACCAGGGCCGGGGACAAACTGCAACCGAGGTATGCGCCCCTAGCGGGAACCAAACGCTGGTCTCTCTGGACCACAGGCCGATGCTCTAACCCGTGAGCCAAATCAGCCAGGGCTATTTATTTATTCTTTAGAGTGAGAGGGGAGGAGGGAGGGAGGGGAAGAGAGAGAGAGAGAGAGAGAGAGAGAGAGAGAGAGAAACATCCATGTGAGAAACACATCGATTGGGTTACCTCCCGCATGACCCCGACTGGGACCAGGGATCGAACCTGCAACTGAGGTACATACCCTTGACTGGGAATTGAACCTGTGACTCTTCAATCTGCAAGCAGAAGCTCTAACCTCTGAAACCAGGGCTAAAATTGATTTTTAATTACTGCGTTTCATTAAGCAAATATTGATGAAAACACCTCTAAATTTAAGACTGACAGTAAATGCTTATTATAGTAAAACCAAATCTAAATTGCATTACTGCTTGTACTGAAGGAAAAACCTCTTGCTGGGTGTATATGTTTCACATTTTACAAGGATGCTGTATCTTTTTTGTTGTTGTTAATCCTCATCCAAGGATACTGATTTTCAATAGAGTGGAAGGGAGGGAGCAGGGGAGAGAAACATCCATGTGAGAGAGACACTGATTGGTTGCCTCCCACATGACCCTGACTAGGGACAGGGATCAAACCTGCAACAGGATTTGTGCCCTTGACTGGGAATCAGACCTGCGACCCTTTGGTCCTCGGGCCAAATTCTAACTGCTGAGCCAAAACTGGCCAGGGGGGATGCTCTATCTCATTTATCATCAGTAACCTGAAAAGTATTATGAGATACTGAAAATATTTACTTACAAGTTTCCAGACTGATTTCACATTTTGGTTGTAATTAATTTTTAAAAATTTACATTGAGTTAATTCACATACCATAAATTCGTTCTTTTAAAGTATACAATTCAGGTGGCTCTGTTCTCAGTGGATATTACATTATATTTCTAAAGTGTACAGTTTATTGGGTTTTAGTATATTGAGTTGTGTGACCATTACCATTATCTAATTTTAGAGTATTTCATCACCTCTCCCCAAAAGACCCCAAACTCATTAGCAGTCATTCCCCGTTCTCCCTGCCCCTAGTCCCTTGCAACCAGTAATCTACTCTGTCTCTATGGATTTGCCTACTTTAGTTATTTCATATAAATGGAATCATACAGTATGTGGCCTTTTGTGTATGAGTTTTTAAACTTAGTATTTTCAAGCTTCAAGATACCTGTTGTAGCCCTGGCCAGTGTGGGTCAGTTGGTTGAGCATCACCCAGTGCAACTGGTTCAATTCTTAGGGCACATGCCCAGGTTTTGGATTCGTCCCCAGTCAGGGCTTGTGTGAGAGGCAGCCAGTCAGTGTTTCTCTCTCTCCCTCTCCCTCTAAAAGCAATTTAAAATATATTTTTTAAAAAGATACATGTTGTCTGGCCAGTGTGGCTCAGTGTTTGAGCATTGACCCACGCACCAAGAGGTCACCAGTTTGATTCCCAGTCAGGACACATTCCCAGGTTGTGGGCCAAATCCCCATTGGGGGGGTGGGGGGGGACATGCAGGAGGTGGCCAATCAGTGTTCTATCTCATCAATGTTTCTATCTCTCCCTCACCCCTCTCTCTAAAATCAATCAATAAAAAAAGATACATGTTGTAGAATATATCAGTATTGTGTTCCTTATTAAATAATACTATTACATCATATGGATATACTACATTTTATGTATCCACTTATCAGCTGGTGAACATTTAAGTTGTTTCCACTTTTGGCTATTATGAATAATGCTACTTGAACATTCATGTATACAAGATTTTATGTGGAAAATATTCCAATTTTTTTTTTAGCTCAAACATTTGTTCATGGTTCATTATGTGCCAAAAACCATCTTAAGGTCAAAATGATGTTCTTAGCATGATATAAAGTAGTATCCTAAACCACATGACTTGTCTTAATCATAAAAACAAGATTCTGAACAGGTTAGATATAGAAACTCATTTTATCTTCATGCAATAATACAAAATAACATTTGGTTGACTAGGGTTCTAAATTACTTATTCTAAACAATATGTAAACATGCATTCTGAATATAAAATCTATACCTTCGCATTTACAATTTAATTAAACTAATAAAATTACATACACTGTGTTACAGCCAGTAACCTTACCAAGTTATTAAAATTATCAGAAAGTTACAAAAATCTGAAAACAATATTAATATGCAATATTAACAAGAATATGTATATGTACTAATCTGTGTTCATTATATTTATTCACAACTACATTTTAATTAATCCCTGTACTCAAACATTGCTTCATTGATGCAGTCACATAATATTAAGACTTTGGTACACCTTCATTATTTGGATTAGTTTTTTCATTGCCCCTGTAGTACTAATTTTCTGGATCCTTAATATATTTCTCATGTTTTATGCCAATCCATGCAAGAAAATCTGATCTATTATAATTATAAAGTTTTTGAGATTTCAATATAATATTAAGGATGGGATTTTTAGCTAATCTTTTCTACATTTTGTACTTGTATCAATTTCTGAATGTAAATGTTTCAATATATAAAACCATCTTTTTAGCACATTGCAAACTGCAATATAAAGAAAACATGATTATTTTCCTTCCTTTTTTTCAGATGGAGACATTTCTACCACTGTAAATCAAATAGGTCAAGTGAATAAAGTCAGCTTTAACTTTATTTGGAATTACAAAGTGGGCTCTCTATAACACTAAATATGCAAATAGTATTTTAAGGTTTGAGCTAAACCTAGGTTACCTCCTTAAACATCAAAATGCTTCCTGGCCATGTTCCTTTTAATTGTAACCTTAGCAAAATTTAGTAGAGATGTTAAGTTTGCTGGTGTAAATACAAACAAACAGAAAACCAGAAAATTCACTTTAGTGCCAAATAAAAAGGAATTTAGGATTAGACAGTCACATTCTCCATTAAGCATAGATAACGACAGCCTCATACATTATGATTTATTTGTATGTCATCATTTCTTGTATACAATCTTGATAGTGGTCAATATAAAAAATATAGTGGTACCATTATAAAACAAAGGTTTAATTTCAGATGCATGTTTGTGGGGAAGGGAACAAAGAGCACTAGTGAATTTCTTCATCTTCTAAGCAAAACTCCATTATATCAAAAATTTCTATAAAACAAGCTATTTTCCAGTCCCAATTGGTAGCCCACTTGTTTAAAAATGGTTCTGGATAAAAGCAATACCACTACAAAGGGAGAATTTTAAAAATTCCTTTTAGTCACGGGATAGAATTTTACTTGGAATACTAAGAAATACAAACAGGCAGCAAATGTGTATTTGTTGTAATAAACAGCTAAGGCCCTGGCCAGTTTGGCTCAGCAATTGGAGCATCAGCCTGTGGACCAGAGAGTACTGTGTTCAGTTCCCGCTAGGGGCACATACCAAAAAAAAAAAAAAGAAAAAAAATAAATAGCTAAGTGGTTAAGAGTATGAGCTTTGAGGCCAGGCTGCCTAGGTTTAAATTCTGGCTCTATGACTTAGTAATTATATGAACTTGAGTGTTTCATCTTTATAATGGAGATTTGATGAGATAAGGATCCAGCATACTGTACTTCAAATAATAATTATTAACACTTATTTAAAAATGTTTAAATATACAGTATTTTAATTTCTTTCATCCTTGGTTGGTATTTTCATTTTGAATTCTTCCACCATATCTTATTGAAAAAGTGTGGAATAAGAATTATATAGTAAAACCTAACTTACCCAGAATGCTTGGGAAATGAATCATTCTGGATAGGTAAATTTTCCATAGGGTAACATTATAGGTATCAAAAAAAGATCAACAAATGGGATAAAACTATTTCCTAAACTTATTACACACTTCCATGCCTTCTTAAGGAGGGTGTACTGGTGGCAATTAAACTTTTTCTTCATTAATCATAGGAAAAAGCCTACTTGACTCTACCTAAGATTTTATTTTAACATGTAGTTCATGAATAGAAATCAGGGTGTATGTGAACTTGGATGTGAAAAAATAAATTACATCTTTATTTTTACTGATCTCTAACTGAAAATTCACATTTCCTTCCATTTTGAATGTAAGCAACAAACCTATGTTTGTGTCACTAGTAGGAATCACAGATACTTTATATCACACTGTTGTAAGCTCTGGAAATATTTATGTTCATCACTTCAAAAATTTGGTCTTTCTAGACCCATCACTTGATCTTACTGTGTTAATAAAGCACATTTATTCCTGTATCAACGATTTGTTTTTCTTTAATATTTTAAGACTATTTCAAAATGTTTTCTTTTATAATGCTATGAATTTTATTTTATACATTTAAAAACATTTTTCTAAGAAGAGTCCACGACTTCACCAGACAGCCAAAATGGTTTGTGTTACCAAAAATATTTAAGCACTCTAACTTCAAATCTGTCCCAGTCCACTGTGCTGTTAGTTCAGAGCATTAACATGATTCATTATACTTTCATTCTGAAAACTGTTTAAATTGGGGAAATATAAATTGGCTTCTCCGAGGTAGGGATGTTTCCTACTACACTTCAACCCTGGCTTCTGAAGGAACAAAACAAACGGAGAAATGAGTCGTAAAATTAGATTCAGATGGCATTTAAAGTAGAAACATAAAACATCCTACTCTTCCACTTTCTACATTAAGAGATAATATGAAGTTCCATTCAATAAATACTCTGAAGTCAACTGCACGGGTTCAAATTCAACTTCTGCCATTTATTAGCTGTGTGACCTTTGGATGGTAACAATCTCTGTGCATCAGTTTAATCGTAAAGGGGGGTTAACAAGCATAGTATCTGGTACATAATGTGTTTAATAAACATCATTATTCTTACAGATTTATTTCACACTATGGCTAGTTAATGTCTCACTGGTTAGTTTA